GATGCCTGAGGTATTACTTTTCCCGATTGTAAGTGTAATATATAGCCAACATATGATAGTTTGATAATGCAGAAGGAAAGAAATCACCATCTCTAGAGATACGCATTAACATTTCACTGTAGTTTTCTATTCTTTTATGTATATATATTGATATGTTTTGGGGTGTATGTAGAGGTTTTTTTTTTGTTTTTTTTTTTATAAAAGTGACATAATGTATATCCTGTTTAGCATATGATGTGAATACTTTCCCGTCAGTATTTTTCTATGTGAATTTTTATGGATGGATGATAATTCATCGTGTGGATATACCATAGTCATATCCTCAGTCCCCTATTTTGGAACATTTAAGTGTTTCTAATTCTTCAAAACATAAAAATACTGTGATGAAAGTTGAAAGGAATGGAGCTTGATAGGGAGAAAGTAAAGAGAGCAAGGAACAAGAAGCCTCAGCATTATCAAGGGATGGGAAGGGTGGAAGGAATGGGATGTAAGAGCTGCAAGCCTAGACAGAGAATAGAGGAGTTCAGATATAATGTTTCAGAAATGGTGCTGTTTCTGCTAGAGGGTGTGGCCTTGAGAGGTGGAAGGATAAGAAGAGGGGAAGTGAAAATTGAAGAGTTGAGGAGGTTTAAAACAACATTTTGGCATCTAATTACTAAATTTTTAGCTTAGAGCTGAGGTAAATATGAAACTTTGTTAAATGTGAGCCTCGCGAGCCAGTATATCTATCTCTTCTTCAGCTTGACAAATAGACCCAGTCTAATGAGACAGGAGTCCGTAAGGATGAACATCGGATCCAATGGGAAGATGGTTCACAGAAGCAGAGGCAAAAACATTAAATGTGGGCAAAAGTACATCCTTAGGAGTAATTGTAAAAGTAAAACAGGACCTATATTCGAGGTTCCATTTTACTTCTAAATGGTGTTGCTTTGTTTCAAGTAGAAATCATAGTACTTAATGCTAGAAAGGATATGAGGAGCTAATGTAATATTGGTGGCACAGGAAATTGATAGTCATTTTGGAGCTTAGTAAAATTATACTTAGCAAAAGCAATTTTAAGTTTCATATCCTTTAATAATTTAACTTTCGGCAATCTATGCTAAATAACAAACTCAGCAAAAGTAAAGAAAGATTATTTACACAAAGTAGTTTAGCATTATCTATAATGGCAAAAACCAAAAACGTTTAAAAAAATCAGTAGAAGGGGATAGTTGAGTAAATCTTATTAAAACACAAGCAGAAATAGTGGTGCAATTAAACATGGTTATAAAAGCTTTATTTACATGGTACATTCTTATGTTACAAGGAAAGCAAAATATATGATAATATGTGCACTGTGATTCCCACTATAAAATCTGTATATAGACAAAGACTGGGGTAATATACAAAGTTTAAAAAATAAGATTTTCTTCCTTTTTTTTTTTTGTTAAGAGTGATTAGAATTAAGATAGTTCAGCTTTATTTTTAAATATCCTTAGTTTTTAAAACTCTCCCTTTATATGTATATTTTTCATTGTAATAATAATAGCATATGTTTTACTTTTAGAAGTTACAAAAAGAAACAAATTAAAATCATCTATGAATTATCATTCACTGAGAGAAAACTATTAAGTCTTATTTTGTTCATATCTGTGCATATATTATATATATCTGCACACACACACACATATATATTTTTTTTACCTGTTAATGATCATGTTAATATACAGTCTTTTTGCAGAGAGTGTTAACCAAATGCATTCCAGCAATTCCACTAAATATATATCCAAAAAAATTGAAAGAAAGGACTTGAACACATATTTCTATACTAGTATTCATAGGAGCATTATTGATAACCAAAAGGTGGAAACAACCCAGTGTCCATCAATAGAAAATTGGGATTTAACAAAAAGGGGTGGGGATATGTACATGCAATGGAATATTAACTCAGCCATAAAAAGGAATGTAATACTAACATGCATTACAACATGAATGGAACTTGAAAATATTATGCTAAGTGTGAAATAAATAAGCCAGACATAGAATGACAAACACTGTATGCTTCCATTTATATGAGGTATCTAGAATAGTCACATTCATAGAGACAGAAAGTAAAATAGAGGTTACCAGGGCTGACAGGGGTGGGGAGTTATTATTTAATGATTTTAGAGTTTTAGTTGGGAAAGATGAGAAAGTTTTGCCCAAAATATAATAGTAGTAATGATTATACAACATCTTGAATGAATTCAATGTTACTAAATTGTATACTAACAAATTAATTGATTACAATGATATATGTATATGTTACCACAATTAAAAAACATGCATAAATAATGTATTACATTGTTGGATTGCATATTGGTACAGCCATTTTGGAAAACAGTATGGAGGTTCCTCAAAAAGTTAAAAATGGATATACCTTTTGACCCAGCAGTTGCACTTCTGGGTATTTATCCAAAGAAAGCCAAAACAATAATTCGTAAAGATCTATGCACTCCAATATTCATGGCAGCACAATTTACAATAGCCAAGATATGGAAGCAGCCTAAATGCCCATCAACAGACAACTGGATAAAGAAGTTATGGTTTACATATATAATGGAATATTACTCAGCCATTAAAAAAAATGAAATCCTACCATTTGCAATGACATGGATGGACCTAGAGGTTATTGTGCTGAGTGAAATAAGTCAGAGAAAGATAAATACCATATGATTTCACTTATAAACTAATCAAAAATAGGCTCAGAAATATAGTAGATAGTTTGGTGATGGACAGAGGGGAGGGGGTGGTTAGGAGGCTGGGAGAATGGGGTGAAGAGTTAAAGAAGTACAAATTAGAAGTTGATAGTTGGGCACAGGGAGCACGGCAGAAGGAATACAGTTAACATTAATATGATGGCAAAGTGGAGGGCCAGGGGAGGGAGGGAGCAATTGGGGAGATCGTTTTATGAACATTATAGATGTCTAAGCAATGTACTGTATACTTGAAACTAATTTAAATAAATAAA